CTAAGGTACAAACACCCTAAACCGGGTTCAACTTCTTTACATGCATGCGAATCTCTGCATCATAAAAAAGCCATAAAGATTTCTGTTAACATCGACCAGACTACACAGCGCAACAACTCAGAAGACAGAAATCTTCATACTCTGATGACGGAGGCAGTATGACCTCTGAAACGTAGGTTAACATCGACCAGACTACACAGCGCAACAACTCAGAAGACAGAAATCTTCATACTCTGATGACGGAGGCAGTATGACCTCTGAAACGTAGGTTAACATCGACCAGACTACACAGCGCAACAACTCAGAAGACAGAAATCTTCATACTCTGATGACGGAGGCAGTATGACCTCTGAAACGTAGGTTAACATCGACCAGACTACACAGCGCAACAACTCAGAAGACAGAAATCTTCATACTCTGATGACGGAGGCAGTATGACCTCTGAAACGTAGGTTAACATCGACCAGACTACACAGCGCAACAACTCAGAAGACAGAAATCTTCATACTCTGATGACGGAGGCAGTATGACCTCTGAAACGTAGGTTAACATCGACCAGACTACACAGCGCAACAACTCAGAAGACAGAAATCTTCATACTCTGATGACAGAGGCAGTATGGCCTCTGAAACGTTGGTTAACATCGACCAGACTATACAGCGCAACAACCCAGAAGACAGAAATCTTCATACTCGCCGCTGTGAAAACCTCAAATCTTACATATAAAAGCCAGTTTCATGTTTCACTTTTGTGTTTGTTTCCGCAAGTATAAACCCAGGGGAAAACGTTCAGATTAATTAGACTGAATTTTCATTATTGTTATCCTGTAAGGGGCAACGTTTAAGCGTTTATTTTAAATATAAACTGTTGTAGATTTCTGTTACAGGGCAGCCTGCTATATTACATTTTATACGTTTGTCATAACCCTAGATTTAAAATTTCCTTGCATTTTAGGAAATTCGCACAGACAATGTGATGTGTGAACTAAAAGAGGGGTTGCTGTAGCAAGGAAGGGTGGTAAGGGTCCATAAGACTGCGATACGGAAGTGTTGGGAAATGGAAGAAAGAGGGCGAAGGATTAAGATGCGAAGGAACCCATTCCCGTTGAATTTCAATGGGCTTTTGCACTGGTACATTAATAACGAACAGAATGCACGCACTGGGATGTAGAGCAGGTAGTGCCAAGGACGTGTTTCTGTAGACAAAACCTCACCTTGATCATGGACCGTACCGTAAAGTTCGCATGACACCACGACCCACTTGGGCAACTGTCCAGCTCCTGCCCTGTGCAGCGTCTTACGTTCTCTCTCAGAATACCCACCGGTCGACGTCGAAGTCCGGAACCCAAGTTCAGGTTTCCAGAATTCTGGAATCGCCCTGAATCAAGAACCTCGAAATTAGCCGATATAATCAAAACGTTACAATACAAGAAGTTGCCTTGTTCGCATATCTGCATACTGATTTTGGTTAATTGTCGCATTGTGAGTCTCTATTAAAGACAGTCGATAAACCTAATTTTTTAACAGATTATTGCGGACCAACCATTTATACGAAGGTCTAAATACATGTGCAGGTACGGTCATCATTAAACACGCCTCATTACTGGTTCCAGAAACTTTTCTGACAAAACATATGGCCACAAGCAAGATTAATATGTTCGGTTCCACATCGTTTTCTGAACAAAAGTTTACATCTATCGCCAAATATTGGTTAATTAGCTGTTGCCATCAGTCAGGTATAAATTACGCGTGGCCGCCATGTTGTTGTTTTAAAATTTTCACATACATGGCCTTAAAATCCGAGCGTCTATACCAGAAGTTCGTATCTCTTCTGTCATGGAACATATTCGTAGAGAATTAAACACTTTTACCAAAATCCAAAACACGCACAGATGTGAACACTCGGTGTATATATATAGGCTTGCATATGCATATAAGGCAAAGTTACCCTTAAGATTATTTAAGCATCACACCACAAAAACGTATGGGTTTGTGTTAACAGTGTAAGTAGATGGAAGTCAATGGTCAGCTTCACGCTCAGACCGTTTTATCCCAGGGTAATCAGCTCCTTTGTACCCAATGGAAAGAAACTAGACACTGACGAAGAGAAACATCATATCAGAATTTAACAACGATATATCAACTATAGGGGTTATGCAACGTCGAATGATGAACGGGAGGAAAAGAGAGGAAAGCTAGTGGTCGATTCGGATTATTATAAACGCGTCTTCTTGAATGGACTGGACGAGGTTCGAACTAGTCACCTGCACAATGTTGCATGACGTGTTCTGCCAGACTGTTCATTTGGATTAAGCACACAGTTATTAAGTAAAAGCAATAAAGGGAATTAATAACACAAGATTTTTTTGTACGACTGATGAACGTCAATAATTTATCAACACCGCTCGTGGCTCGTGAGCCACTCGACACAAAAAGAAATCACTGTTTCCCGTAATGAAGCAGGTGCATGCTTACCATTTCACATCTTTCAAACTGGACCGGTTCTAGATCCCGTTGAACATCACATTTGTCAAACATCGTCAGAGATCAAAAAGAAAACGCAGATGAACGAGTTAAACGATCGACACCTCCATGCACACCGCACTGCTGACCCACCTTCTGGCATCAGAAATTAAATTAACTTATTTTTAAATGTTATACAACATATTTAAACCTGAATGACCTATAGCGGCACAATCTTCTCGCACTTTTCATGAAAATCTTTTTTTTCCCAAAGATTTCTAACAGGAGGAACATAACACAGCAAGGACCTCGCCAGTCCACTTTTTAATGAAAACTAGTCCAACACCTGGTCATGTTATAAACGTGTCTAAGTGACTGGAATGTTCGTTGAGTCGCCGACTAGTCTGCGGACAGCAAGCACGAGATTCCAGGATCCCACGACGGCGAATAAGAAGATGACTATCCTCTGGGATGTTGAGCAGACGTTTTAGAGATGCTTGTTGCCTCAGTCATCAGAACTATGATGGAGGCAGCAGGCACTTCTGAAACGTTGGTTACAAGGTGCAACATCCCAGAAGACAATTCAACTTCATGCATTATCAAGTTAACAAATCAGCGATTTCTTACGGATGACTTCAAATGGGTAAAATGGAACCTCGTACCGGGCCCACGTTTTAAGTGGGGGCTGGCATTTTCATCTTTATCGCACTGATAGTGCCCACGTGTTCAAAGTCATGTTACGATTCTCGGACAACGACCTGGAGACAAGATCAATCCGCATGAAGGTGGGCAGAGACCCCACCTTCAGCTGCTACCTGTTTGTGTATCCTTCAGTTTTAATTTTACCCTTCTTTTTTTTTGGCTTTAAACAATACCGTTATAACCTAATCCTTGTGTACAGTCAGTATGATAAGAAAGTCGCTGACACACACACGAGAAAACAAATTACAGTAAGTGCTGAAGATGGCTGTCTTCTGGGTTGCAGTGCCGTGTAGTATGGTAGAAATGTGCCGACGTTTCAGAGGTATTTGCTGCCTCCATGATCAGGTATCTAATGAAAAATCTGTAAACTTCTACCAGATGGCAGCCATCTTCTTACTCACAGCCGTGAAATCTCAAATCCTACTAAATCATGTGCTGTTTGGGCGACTGAATTAAGGCCACGATGAGTCGCACGTGCAACATGCATGATAAATGTACCTAAACTTACAAGTACCAGCAAGTGTATACTTGAAAGTTTCTAGGCCTCAGCTTTGTATTGAAGGTATTTAGGGCTCTCTAAGTTTCAAGCACACTGTTAGGTAGAAAACTCCGGTTTAACAATGACGAAGGAGTAATTGTTGTATGGGTATAAAAATTAGTAATAAATGTATATTAGGACCAATAACATACGCAGATCGTAAAGAACGTATATTGAAAACAAGCGCACTTAACTTTCGAGTATCCTATAATTTTTCATCCCAAAAGTATGTGGGGACCAGTTTATCGTAATAAACAATAACTGTATTCGTGAACTTTGATCAAGGCAGTTTTTAACACAAGAATATGTCACAACAATGAATTCGATATAAATGGATTACCATTTGCCTACTAAGTAGTCCTTCTGCACCATGATTAAAAGTTCACCTTTGTTTGTCTCTGACTGTACTTGCGACCTCGAGTTACCTTGACTTTGGAGTAAAGGCAAGCAGGAAGAAGAAAATAGATTACGTCAGCCACGTCTCTTACAGGGCAGAATTCCGTTTATTTGCCGGCTTTTAATCATTTTTCCTAACGAGCAGAGAGACATTTCACGAATAATCCGACCAACTGCAGCTGTCCCATTGAGACTATTTTGTGCCCTGCATTGCTAATCGACGAACCCAAACACTTTCTGGCTTTGTTTGCGTGCACTCTGCTTCATGCACCAGTTCTCTGAATCAACTACGCCACGAAATGTTCCTTCACTTCAGGCTTCAAGTTGTTTCTCTCTCAGTCATGATACTAGGACGCTTTTATCTGAAGACCATTCACAGAGAAAGTGCAACTTGATATATACTTGCAAAATTTGGAAATTAATCCTATAGTAACCCTCAGACGTCCAAGCTTGGATAAATAATATGTATATAAAAATTCAGCCCCTAAACAAAGATCAATTTGTTTGTCTGTTACATTATTGTTTTATAAAAGCCTGATTCTGGACCTTGTCTCGGACCTGATGACTTTAGACAACAAGCTGTTTCTTTAAGATCAAGCTTAACATTATTCTATCTATGTCTAGGTCTCTCAAGTGGTCTGTTGCATTCAGGTTTTCCATCCAACATTTTGTATGAACTTCCCATCAGACTTATACAAAACTTTTGTAGGAAACATTTTTGTGTTGAAAAAGTATAAACATCTGAAGTCGTGATTCTTAGATAAAAGGATCTGGGAGATTTTTTGCTCCATCAGAAACATGTACAAAATGTCAGTGTATGTCGAGATCTATTTTTGCTAATTTGATTCTTAGTTAGGTAACTTTCAAATGTTTCAGCTGTTATGTCCTTTGATTGATTGCAGATAGCACGAGCAATTATTTTTGTGTCAGTGACATCATTGCTGGCAGTTAGTTCCTGGATACCAGGGTCTGAAGCAGAAGACACAAGAAAGGAAGATTCCTATGGCAAAGATAATGATGAAAGTCAGGCAACAACAGTGACTGGAAACACAGCATCACCAGAACATTATTTACCATCAAGGGACAGAAGTGATGAAGCAGATGATGGTTATGTAGATGCTGAAGCACAAAATAAGGATTCATTTTCAAGTACAGTGGTGTCAGAAAAAATACATAATGAAACTGAGAATAAGACCAAGTCTTCTCCATTAACAGTAGAAAATTCACATTTAGGATACAGAATGCCTGGTCTTTTTGGTTTCAATGGTGGAGAGCCATTTTATCTAGAAAAAGACCCTATTACAGGCGCAGTGGACTTCAGTACAAAAACATCAGCAGACAAAACTGGAGCAAATGAAGATTCAGATACAGCAGTACCATCCCTTAAAAATCACAAAATATCAGAAGACACTGGTACTTCAGATGATTATTACTATTATGATGAAGAAGACAGTGATAACATTGACAGAAAAGATGGTGCTTTCAATGATAATGGAAGAATTAACTACATGAACCCTTATAAAAATTATCCTCCCACTATAAACGATGTTAACATCCATGTAGAAAATCACAGCAATCATAAATATCAAACAGACCAAAATAACAAATATCCTTTAATTTCCAGCTCCTATGCCAACACTAAAGTTCAAGGAACAGCTGGTGGAAACAACAGAAATCATCGCCCATATGCCACTAGTTCTACCCAATCACCATCTTATTACACAATCAGACCCCAACCTACTTTCTTAACTAGCACACCACAACCCCCATCTCAAGATATCATCAAGTATAAATCCCCTCAAAATAATAATTCACCTCATCCTGTGGCCACAGAAGAAACAATGTATCATAAACCAACTCCAGAAAGACATGAAAATTACAGTTCTCAAATACTTAACACCCATAAAAACAATCAGCAGCTACAACAAGAAAGTATTCAACAAACACTAATGGATAAACAGCAGCAACAAAACCAGCATTATGAAAAGCACGATGCAAAGCAGCAGCAAGATGAACTAAAAAAACAAGCACAAGATCAACAGCAAAAATTAAGACCTTCAGACCATCAGTCCTCATCAGCCACTAATCCAGAGGTCCCTATCCAGAAACTTCCAACCAAAGCAACTAATCAGCCATTAAATTACGAAGAGGAAAGTAATGAAGATTATGATACAGAAGCACCAACCAGTTTCAGTTTATCAGAACTCTTTGGATACGGTAAACCTCCAACAAGAACTGAGGAAAAGAAACCTCAACAAGAACAAAAGCAGCAACAGGCACAAGAATACTCCAAGCAAGGTGAATATAAAGATCCAGTTCCATCTACACTGCAATCTACCCACACCACAACTACAATTAAGCCAAGTATAATTAATCAGGAATTAATTTCTGAAGATCAGAATTATGACAAAAATCAAATCCAAGAGAAATACCATACCACACAAAAAGCAACTGCAAATAAACTTTCAACTACACAACCCTCTGATATTATTTATAGTGAACCCAGCACTGTGAAATATCTGGACACTGTAACTTCCATGCCCCTGGACACCCAGTCTCATCCAAAGCAACAATCTGCAAATCATCGTCCTGAGAAGTATGAGCCATCTCCCAACATACATTCAGATACTTATCACCAGGGTACTTCCGTGACTGCAAATGCAGATTTAGCTTCTAACCCATTTCAGAATGTTAAAAACAACATAGCTGTGGTGACAAGTGTTCATCAACAAGCAAAGCCAGGATATCTTGGGGGATCAGTACATTCTGAAACCAATACAATGAAGAATAGTCCATATGGATCATATGCAGAAGAGCCTTTCAGGCCTATTTTTGGACCTGGTCAGGGAGATGATAAGCCTCCATTACACCAGCCAGAGCATCAACCACTGGTGTCACCTATAAACAAAGACAGAAACACCAATAGTGTGTCCAGCAGCAACCTAAGCCCAGTAAAAGCTGAAGGTACAATGCCATCAAAAATTCCACAGGAGACACCATCAAGATGGAATTATCCTTATGATGAAGGTACTTCCACATTCTTCCAAATTCCTTCTCATAATCAGCAGCAGCAACAACAAAACAAGGAAACAGTTTCTGTAGGAAATTCTAGAATTCCTGAAGTTGAGCCACCAAGACCTCATTTACAGAACCCAGGTTTTCTTCATTCTCAACAGAACAAACCAACATTCACATCAGAGACATCTGTTTCTACTGGAAGTATTATCCCAAATTATAACAGAGTACAAAGCAACGATCCTCAAAGCCTTCCAGTCTCACATATGCAGGAAGCCTTTATACCTGAATGGACAGACAGTAATGCTAAAAGGAAAGGTGATGGAGAAGGGTACGTTGTTTTTCCAGACAGTCACCCAGAGGGAGGCAGACCACAAGATGAAACTCTTAAAAGGCCATCAATAGCAGTAGCAGTATCAACAAACATACAATCGATTGGAAATGAAGAAATTAATTATCAACTATCATCACCACAGTCTCAACCTCAACAAGAAGAGGCAGGGTCTTTAGAAATTATGCACACATCAAACCAGCAGAGATTTCCACTTCCACCAAATTCTGCTCCTCGGCCAACAAATCAGAATGGAGCTCCAATTCTGCACAGGGACACCGTAAAGGAACCAGCACAAGAACTTAGACCTCCAGCAGAACCTGAAAATCTGAGACAACAGTCAGTGTCAGGAAATTATCCCCATCCACACTGGGAGTCACGCCCAACAATACAACCTCAGTACTTTCCCCAACCAGATCCCTCTCAAATTGCAAGGCCAAAGCATGATGTTGTGCCACCCCACTTCGTACAAACTTCTACTTTCAGCAGTGAGTATCGCATTCACCCTGACTTCTTACCTGAACACCCTTTCCAAGGAAATCGACCTCAAACAATTCCAAAGAATCATAATCAAGATGCAAAGCTTCCCAACATTCTTCCCCAGTTCAGACCAAATGCCAAAATATCCCATATTCACTCTGAAAATGGAGGTCGGATACAAGCATACCCACATTTTGGCCCACAGAGACAGCCTTTACTTGAAAGGCCTAGCAGACACCCCCCTCCAGAGTTAATGGGGCACCTGCATCCACCTCCGCCACCTCATCATAGAAGAGTGAATCGCAATGACAGTCCTCTAGATGGATTAAATATGGATGAAGATATATTTCCATTTGAAAAGCATCCTCCACAGCCCCCAGCCATTTCTCAACAACGACCTCTTGTTCATCGAAGGACTGGCCCTCATATTACAGATATGGGTGGATCTCAGCCACAGGTTGCAACATTACAAATGATGCAACATCAGCAGCAAGGAACCAACACATATTTTCTTCCTAGACCACTGACAGCTAGAGATGATTTCCCTGATTCTGATGATGATATGAAACCTCCTTTTGAAATTAAATACCCTTTAGGATCAACATTAGATGCAGAGGCCTCAGAGAAACAACCTGTATTTGTAGTCTACCCTGTGAATTCAACTCCTCTCAATATTGGAGGTGGAAACGCAAATAATGGTGGTGTTGTTGTAGGCATTCATGGTCCTCAGCGTCCATTACCACCTTCAAATCTTGACTCTGAGGGTGGTTCATCATTACCCTTAGAAGATATAAATGGTGGTTCCTTAACACTTCCATTTTCAGGACATAAAAATCAAAAACCAGTGCTTAAACTTCCTACAGATAAGCTTGATTCTCCTCACCTTCAATCACAAAATCCAACAAATTTTGCAACACCAAATACTAATGCTGAACGACCCATAAAATCTGATTTCCCTTATCCACTAGAAAAGCCAGATGCTATAACAGACGTAGCAGAATATGAGATAAAACAGGACAATGAAGGCCATAAGGAAATTATGTCAATCTTGGGAGGTGTTACTCCAAACAACAATGATAGATATGACAATGAATTTCCACTTAAAAATGATGGAATTCAAGCAGAAGTACATAACAGCAATAAAGACAGACATAATGAAGATGACACAGAAATTAATATAATACCATATCTTCAAGACTACATGCCATTTGCAACCAAGAAACCAATCACGTCAATTAAACTATTACCTGAAAAGAAACCTACTACTCATTCCTCCATCAATGTTCCAATCGAATCTCTTACAAGCTCTGTCAAACCTGTAAAAGACATGTCCCATTCCAACCAATGGACTACCATAAGCGGTGGACACCAGACACAAGATGCAAGAATAGTGAATATTAGAGGTTCAGAAAATGAAATCAATGCTCCCACATCTTCAACATCAGAACCACATCACTCATCAGCAATATCAGTCACTCTTAGAACAGTTCAGCCACAATCAAGTACCACACATTCTCCTGTCTCAAAATCCACACTGACTGTTTCTAGCTATCCAAAATCTCCCCAGTTATCTGTTACCAGTGCCACTGTACATGGAGGATCACTACAATCAGCTCATCAGCAGGGACTGGTTGGTTCTGGGGGATCAGAATTCACAGTATCAGCTGTTATGCACACCCATCCCCAAGCACCTAGCAACCATAGACCCGCAGAGGTATTTTCATCAACAACACCTCCTCAGTTGAACTTTCAAGCTCCTTTCCTTGCAAGTGCCAACATAGGATCTGCACCAGCAAATCAAGGATGGAGTGTAGTTGGAAGCGGAGGGCCTAGCAATGGAAGAATGAAACCTGGAACTGTTGATAAGGCTGAAATTCATTCAGAAGAACTGAAGGCTTCTGAAATTAAAACTGATAGTGAAGATCACAGTAGTGAACCAAACAATTTTGATTTTGAAAACTTCAGACCACAGTTATTTGGAGGGTTTAAGCCTATCTACACATTTCCTGAAGAAAATGGAGAGGAAAATGCTAAATATCTTCATACAACAGAACGCCAAGAGAAAATGATGTCATCAGCCTGAAAATTCAAAGATGTTACAGTTCAGAATTTAGGACAAATCATATTATATTATCACATTTAATTTGTGGTAGAGTGTTTAAGCCATTGGCTTATAAAGATGAAAAATCTTATCATATTCAGTTGACTTTCAGTAGACAAGGAAAGAAAAATCCAGTTGATCGGTTAGAAAGAAATAGAACAGTGACACAATATATCATATTAAAACTGCTCAGTTATCACATGCATAACTAAACTTTTGTGTCTTACAGGACAATATAAGACCACTGTTAATGCATCTTCAGTGCTGTTTTTCACTGCAGATGAGCTAATAAACTATTTAATTTTTCTACGGTCACTGTACTGAATGTTTTTGATCTATGTTCCTTATCCACCTTTCATTTACACTATACCGTATAGTTACAGTAACAAAATAGTGCCTTCAGGAATAATTTAAGAGCATGAAATACATTATATGCAATAATGATCATTTGTAAGATACCGTCAGTTACATAAATAAATCTAACTTTACACATGACCATAAGAACGACAACAAATGGATATTCTTCACAAAATATTTACTTGGAAAATTGTTTTATAGGATCCTCAGATATTATCACTGTATTACATCTGAAGTTCTCACATAAATGAAAATGCTGATTGTGGTGTTCTAGATTGTGTTGCTATATGGTCCTTTAGGATACCAACAAATGTCCAAACCTTCCATAAAAACTTGCAAGACCACAATGAATCACAACTCAGAAGACCACTGTCAACACGTTCTTACTGCAAGTAGAGGAATTAAGCACATCAACTGCTGCAATTCATAACTATGTCATTGAAAACACTAGCACTCACAATAACAATCTAGCTAAAATTTATGTTAAAAAAATCAAATACTTTGCAAGTTTTGATGTTCAGTGAAATGACTGCCTTGCTTCTGAGACAAGAGTTGAATGTTGAAACATAACAAGTATTTGATTACATATTGAGCATTGTAGCACCATAATGTTAAGACTGTATGCTTATTTTGGGAAACGGTGGCAGGGAAAACAATGGGCAACTGTAGAAACTTAGATTTTGCCATGAACTGGGATATACTTCATTTTAAATTTGAATAATGTATGCAATATTTTAATTAATCCTTATGTTTACAATTTAATTACCACTGAAATATGGCAATAAAGTAACAATTACATCTTATTAGACCATACTATTACATAAGCATAGTAATCAGGTGCAAAATAATGATAAGAACATAAAAGGAAAGCAAGGCTATTGCATAAAAAACAATGGAATCTGCATAATTGATCATGCAATTTTTTGACATGTTTTCATAATACAAACAAATGCTAACTGCTGGAAACTAAAGCATAATATATTTTCATACTATGCATTACATAAAGTCACTGAAAATTAAGGGGTTAGGAGAAGCTGCATTAACATAATGCAGGTGAGCCACTTGGTACCAAATATTAGTAACCTGCAGGATGAATGGACAAAGGTGATATTAAATTCATGATTAACATTCACAAAGTAAAGCACATTCATAAGTTTTTACTGCTAGTAGTGATGCAATTTGTTAATATATATTTCACAATGTATATTTTTTTAAATTATGGTAGATTATTTGAACAAAGTTCCCAAGCATCTTAATTACAGAAAGATAATGAATTCATACACATTCATAAACAGTTCATTACCATGAATGTGGTTATTTTTATGTGAGTTTGAAAATGTTGATGTTTTCACATCTCCACTAGTGTATATCTTTCAGTTACATGAAAACATAATACTTAGGAAAAATATGCATAACATTACTGATCAGAAAATTTCTACAGAACAAATCTGTTACACTGTTTTAAGTGAATATAATGTTGATTCACAACAAAAGCAGAAAGTAGGCTCAATTTAATCAAGTAATCTTTACTTTAAAAATAAAGCAAAACACCAAAGGACTGTCCTTCTATCTTAGTATTACACACACAGTAACAGATGCATATTACTTACGTTAGTTTTAATATACTCACTCCATAGTAATGGGCAAAACTTAAGATTAACAATATAAATGTAATCAAACTTCTATTACATTATCATAAACATATAATAAATTTAAAACTAAATAAATATAGTTGTAGATGTCAGTTAAGAATAAATGCAATTGCCACACTGGATTAATTATATAAAAATTTTAACAAATTTATCCAATATGGTGATTATAGATGTGTGTGTGTGTATGTATGCTGTTAATTTATTATAATAGCAAGTAGAGTGGTACTGGTAACTGAAACACATGTAATAGTTTGTATTGTGTTTGTAAATGTTATACTCTTGTGTTTACAAGTGTGTAAGACATCATCACATATGAGTCGATATCATTAATTTATCTTTTGTATTTAGTATGAATGAACAAAATGAATAAAACTCAACAAATCTGTTTCTGAATATTACTTACATTGAAATAGATTTATAATAAACTCAATAACCTTCCCTCACCTCATCAATATGTGTTTCATCCTAATCTGTAAATAACAGGCTGCAGTATATTTTATCAGCACGTAAGATAACAAATTCTATCAGCATGGATATCATGAGTGTACAGTTAGGCAGGGTTAAGTCAGGCCAGGATAGTGTTACATGTGGCTGGAAATCATGGGTAATGGAATCAGTATTTCCCTAGCTTAAGACTTTGAGCATTGGTCATGTTTCTTGAAGCAAGCATAAAAAAAAATCTGATGGTGAAGTGTTGTCAAGTGGCAAAATACCCATACAAATTTCATCCAGCCATTCTCTTGTTTAAAAAAAGAATGGATATAAGTGATGAAAAGCTTGAGTTTGTTTAGGTTAATGATAAGCATGTGTAGAAGATTGCATTGGCATCATCATGATACCACATAATGAATCTGATAATCTGTGAGGTGATATGAGCTTCATCAAAACTTACAATAGGATGATATAATTATGTACTGTTAGGAATATAAAATTTCAGAAAATACAAAATTTAGGTTGAGTAATTCCTTTTAATTGTAAAATAAGTATGTCAACTGCAGGAAAGAAAATATGTGAGAATCAATTAATAAATTGCATGCTGAACATGGTACACGTAAGTTATTAAATTGCCGGTACTCTGTTGCTATGCTGATGGAATTCGAAATACTGCTGGCAAGCGGTTTAAATACCTTCAGAATGACGGACTCTGTACCTTGGGTGAGACATTTCTTGGAAAAGGCCTTGAATGGTTATAATTATTCCATCCTGTGTAAAAACCACACATACTGCAACCACTATGAAGAGAATATGAAGTCCGTTCAACTATGATAATAGAGTCTGGGTATGAACCGTCCATGTCGAATGATTTATGAACCAGAACATTCGAAAATAGTTGTTTCCAGGATCAAACCTCTTAAAATCAAACTGTGTCAATCAAAAAATTATAGAGTCCAGCCATGCGTTATTGTCACTATCCTTCCTATCACTTTCAGCATTTCAAATTACCCAAAATCTAAAACTGGAAGAGAGCATAAATTTTCCGAAAATCTTTTACAACAAATCTAGCTCACAGATTATACCGACTTCAGGCACTAATTGGGAATTTAGACGATGCGGTGTTGGTCACAGTTACTGTGTTGTCATTTTTTGTATTCTGTGGTATGTAAGGTGTATTGTGGGAGTTGTAAGCACGTGGTGTGTAATTGAGTTTTAGTAATGTCGTTTTTCATAAGAAAAGGTACTAATATAAAACCAAATGAAGGACGTAATGAAAAATATATCAGAAAAAGAGATAAACGGAAAAAGAGCGAATCAGGCCAACATAAACGGAAGAGGAAGGCAGCTGAGAACGGTGATTTGATTATGCATCCGTCGTCATTAAATAACGAAGAGATAGAAAGCGACTTTGAAGATGAGATTCCCCAGAATAATACATCACACAGAAATGTACATTTCGAGTCAGACGATGATGCAGGAGAAACAGCACAGGATAAAAAAGTTCGTTTGGCTAAACTTTACCTGGACGAAATCAAGAGAGAGGAGCTCGAACGAGCAGAAACAGATGTTATTGACAAAGATGTAATTGCCCATCGTTTGAAAGAAGACTACCTAGAACAAAGTGGTAAGCTAAAAAGGTCTACTGCAGATACTTATGTGGGGTTTGACAGTAATGGGATGCAATTTCTGCGGTGCAAGGAGCATAAACTTGCCATCACATGCCTCGTCATATCTTCAGACAATAAGTTTGTGTATTCCTCATCCAAAGATTGTGGAATTGTAAAGTGGTCTTTAGCAGAAAGACGTAAAGTAAACACCATACCGAGGATGCAAAAAGGCCCTGCAGATGTGGATAATGGCCATACAGCAACAGTGCTGTGCCTTGCGATTTCTTCAGATAGCCACTTTCTTGCTTCAGGTGGTGAAAATAGAGTGATACATATTTGGCATCCTGCCACACTGCAACATCTTCATGCGTTTAAGGGTCATAATGGTGCTGTTAGTGGCCTGGCCTTTAGAAAAGGAACTCATCAGTTGTTCAGTGTGTCTACAGACAAAGCAGTTAAAATATGGAGCCTGGATGAGATGGCATATGTAGAAAGTTTATTTGGTCATCAGACAGGAATCACAAGTGTGGATGTCTTGTCAAGAGAACGGGCTATAACATCTGGAGGCAGGGACCATACAATTAGGATATGGAAAGTAGTGGAAGAATCACAGTTAATTTACAGTGGGCATATAGGTAGCATTGATACAGTGAAACTCATCAATGAAGAATATTTTCTTTCATGTGGTGATGATGGGCAATTGTGTATGTGGGGAACTAAAAAGAAGAAACCTCTATGCACAGTAGATTTTGCTCATGGTGTTTCTGCACAGAATGGGGAACCAAATTGGATCTCTAGTATTGCCACAATAACAAATACCGATTTAGTTGCTTCTGGTTCACAAGATGGATGCATTAAACTCTGGAAATGTGGCAATGGTTTTCGATCACTCAGTCCTGTCCTAAATATTCCTGTTGTAGGTTTTGTTAATGCGATGTCATTTACTTCAGATGGAAATTACCTTATTGTTGGTGTTGGTCAAGAACACAGACTTGGTCGGTGGTGGAAGATAAAAGAAGCAAAAAATGGAATTCTGATTATCCCTTTAACAAGGAAACAATAATAGAGTTCCTTGAATATCTGTTTTTATCTCAGATGTAAGCTTTAGAAGAGCCAAATATGTGTGATTGTGACTGAAAATATTAATTTCACCAATACACTTGAGGGCCTTATGCTGATTGAATTTCTCTTTGTTTCCTGTGGCATATTAGGGATGCAGTCCAGGAAAAGGTGATAGATGCTTTTACCCCAAGTTGTTATTTAAATTATCTATGGTAGTGTTGCCAATCATGTGATACATTTGTCTGATTCCCAATCACTGAAATGAGGAATGGAGCCTTAGCAGTACATGTTGGTCCTGTGCATCCAGCTATTATCAAGTACTGACTTTATTCTCAATTGGCATTTTTACTTTCATAGTAATTTAATTTAACCTAATAGCTTGTTTAAATATTAATATATTTGATTATTAAGTTGTATTTAGACATGAAAGTATGAAGAAATAATTTGTCATGATCTGTGTGAATGTCAAGACATGTGAAGTGCTGATTATGTAATAGGAGTAACAATGATACATTTACAGTATGTGGTGTAAATACATGTTCCCCATACTGTATGGCTCATAAGCTTAGTGGTATTTCAATATGGTAATGGTTTTGTTGTATTGAAATGTAGCTTTAATTTATAAGCACAATTTCTTTAGTGAAGGAGAAAAGATTTTTTTGTGGGCACTCTGTCATAACTTCTAATTCATGGATCCTGTTACATTTTTATTATATTTTGTGTGGAAGACCCATGCTAAAAAATTCTATCAGTATATGAATTCAGTCATTGCTGGATAATTTGTTATGCAAACACGTTTTTGCAATTATCTCATTAAGTATACTGAATTCTAAACTAATAACATTTTATGTAGCATATTTCCGCAATGATAGGGTACAGTGACATGCTGTTTTGGACACAGCAACAATACTTGCTATAGTGATATTTTCTGGTCCTTGATAAAATTCTTTCAGCTTACTTTAAGAACTTCATATGTTCAATTCATATCATTTAAGAGTATTTAGATGTTTCCTGCCAAATAATGTTCTTTAGTTGTGCTCAAATACCATGTAAATACTACTGTTAGTAGGACCACTAGCAACAAATTTAAAACTTTGTATGCCATCATTAAATACAGGCTTCAAGACAGTTATAGTATTCTGGAAAATTCAGTGATTCAGACATGAGGGTTTGAAAGTAAGTTAACAATATAGTGTGTACTGTATTTCCTAATACACAGAAACATTATGTGAACCCATTATAAAAGTCTTTATAATAAACAAACATTTGATTGTACAAGGTGGAAGTTTTAACAATCCTACCATACATACAAATAAACATCATGATTTGAAAACTATTATAATATAAATAATGGAATGGAAAAATTCAATGCAGAGTTCTTACATACTTTTACAAAACGTTCCTAACAACAATATATAGAAATTGTTATAACAGCAAAATAGTTTACATACTTTACTAACAAAATGTATTAACTTGTTTACACTTCTTGCACCAAATGCATGGTAGATGGTGCAGTTGTATTTTCTTGCATTACAGAAAATACTGGTTTTACAAATGCTTTGCACCATGCTGCAAATTTATTGTACTATACGGAAAATATTGGGAATAACTGCTCATATAGACAGTGTATGTCTTGCATTCACTTATTTCAAAATAAAGATGGTGTGATGATATTGGTTTCTATCTGAAAACACACCAAAGAATAAACAAATTAATGTGCAATTCTATGAAAGGATACTTGATTAACCTTAAACTTTTGGGGAGAGAGAGAGAAGAAAAAAGACAGACAAACCTCTGCTCAGGATAAGCAGGAAATGTTGAATATTAAGTAGTCTAACTCTGCCATGTCTTAACTTATATATTAATTACAACAGAAAACCAACTATACCAGAACATTGCAGATGGCTTAGACCCCACCTCTTTTGCCAAACTGGTTAAATGTCAAGGAATGGAGGTTGGTAGGGTGGTTTTTACATCTGAACCATAGTTTCTGTCGTGTACAACTGCATATAGCATCTTAGCCAAGTTACAGTTTAACATGTTTTATGTAACTTATGTGATCACAAAGAAATGTGTTACTGATCAGACTAGTTTTCTCCTTCCTATGCTCTGAAAATGTTAGAAAGTTGGGATAATGCAGAGAGTTAACTTCATTTTTATATTTTTAAAATACATTAACATGATACTAAAATAAACCAATCTCAGAAAGACGAGGGATTATTGGATTATGTTATTAAATTAAAAGATGACTAACATTCAATCCAAGAGAACAGATTTGCACTATCCAAAACCTCGGACATAACTTCCAAGTTTCTCACACTACATAACCTCCATTCAGCTAGATCCTCACAATCACATAGAACATGTGAGACTGTTTCATCTTCTCTGACTTCTCCAGCAGATGGGGCTATTTGCAGTTGTTTGATGAGATGCCCTTTATGTGATACTGACCTCTTAAAAATCCTGTTACTTGTGTGTCAAGCAGTTCCTTTTTAGTCTTAATAATTCCCTGGTTGCTGCCTCCATCATCAGAGCAAACACTATGATGGAGGGAACAAGCATCTCTGAAATGTCAGTAAATTTCTACCAGACTACAAGACACTACAATCCAGAAGACAGCGATCTTCATACTCATTGCCATAAGAACCTAATCCTGCTTAGTTCCCTAGTTATTTGGGCAGAGATCTTCAAGAAAAGTCCTTCACATATTTTAAATAAAGTGTAAGTGTGATGCATATTTCAGAATCCTTACCACAGTTCACATAATCTTGTTGAATAACCTCAGGTCCAGCTTCAGGACTATTTCACCAGTCTCAACAAGGTGAAGAGGGAGTTTTTTAATGATTGGTCCACTACACTTCTGTGTTGCCATCAATATATCTGCTATACGTACTTCTGTTCGACCCAAGAACTCTGAAACACATAACTGGTTGCATGTATAGATATTAAATTCAAAGTCACCTATATTTATTGCTACTGGCTTCAATATAAACTTTACTTGTATAGTGGGAAAGAGAAAAATCATATTGTGGTCTAATGACAATATAATCTATTTACTTACACTAACTACTGTAGTCTTACTTGAATTAAGAATTAATTATAATAGTATTAATAATAATCTTTTGAAACCCAATCCCATGCATTGCACATTACTCCTCAGCCTCAATAACATTTTCTAAATTGAATAAAAAGTTTCTTGGATATTATCCATCGTCTAGTAAATATAAAACGTAAAACGACGTTTCGGAGATGGGACGCTATCTCCGTCTTCAGGTTCCTACACAGTTGGGCCCACTAGATAGAGCTAATCCCTATCTCCGGACTCAGTCAGAAATTCAAAATAACAAAATATGTAACTGAAAAAGTTTCCCTGAAAAGCATCGAAGTTAAGTGCATGAACCTGTCCAACTTACAACAAAAGGGGTGTCCAAGATATAGGGTATTGTGGACATGTAAAATTATAGGATATTCGCCGGTTCCAATTTAAAGTGTCCAACTTGAGGGGTTTACTGTACCTCTTTTGTATCTACATAACAATCAGTTACTATAAAAGATGTTGCATACAATATTGGTTTAGCTTAGGAGAAAGTTAGTCCAATCGAAATTGAAAACTGCTAGAAATATTGTGGAAAAGGTGAATTCATTTTGACATGAAGTTTGCTATTTATATTAAAGCTCACCATTGGGAGAAAAATGTCCACGATCAAATACAGTGAGGCAAAGAACATCTTCCTGTAGGTCTTTAATAAGAAACTGCATTGTAGCATTCCACTGAGCTTCAGATGTTGCTGACACGACCTTTGTTCGATGTTTTTGGACTCCCATAGTCACTTCACAGAATACACCACATTTGCCTAGTCAAAGAAACACATTCAATTACAAATGAAAGAATACTTTAGACTGATGTATGGCAACAAATTACAAAAATTAATTTTACCTTCCTCACGCCTGTGGACTGGTAGGAACTATAAAATATTCCATTTGCATTAAATTCTTACTTCTGTTCAGTGACTGAAAACTTAATTTACTGCATACTTGTGAATATGTAACTTTAGCGCGGCAATGACAACAGAACTTTACATTCGGTATACATGTACTCTTGTAGGTTAAATTTTCAGCTTCCTGGATGTTCTTCAATTATGCCCTGTCTGTCACCTAGACTATGCTACGTGTAAACTGCAGAGATCTCAATGAACATACTAAGATATTATAAAAATAATATACCAGTGGAAAGATTACCTTTTTGTTTCCGTGTAAATAATATGGCAGCTTTTATTATGACCAGCTGAAGACAACCCTTGGGCGGCTGATGAGAAACTACAAACATTCCAGTGAAATGCAACATGCATGAAGTTGGCTACAATTGGAATGAATCTACAGGCAGTAGAAGCTTTCTTGGCAGACATGTCAGACAACAGATATGTAATGAACACTGTACTTATTGATCACTTGACGGAAGGATCACTTAAGCAAGTATTGTTAAGAACCAACTTAACAATTTGTACTTTATACTTTAACTGAACTATGTGGATGGAGGAGATAGATTCAACATATGGAGGATAGCTGCAGGCTGATTACAATGGATGGTCATCCAGGTTGGGAGTTAGTTGTTGTGCTTGGCATGATATGTCCATCTGCGGTATTCATGTTAGATATTTTGAATGAGACATGCTTCAGCAAAGATCCATATGCAGTTTCATATTTATGTACCCTAAACTGAAAAATGTTTCAGGCAGTTATGATCTTAACCTTTTGTGCCATGTGCTTATTTTGTAGGACAAGTAACTTTTTAAAAATCTGATAAAATTAAATATTGATCAGTGACAATACCTAGAGATGATATAAGCATTCATCTTCCATTAATTTTGTGGGTGGACAGGATTCATTGGGAACTTCAGTGAAACAGTCAACCCAAATAAGTGGACATGATTTAAGTGTGTGTGTGTCTGTATATATAAATGTTTCATAAATTTTGTTGCTTAAAGTTCATACGTACAATTTCACATACTCTAGAAGTGTACAATGTCTTATATATCTGTTGTCTATAGATAAGGAAATATTGTGGTGGGTTAGTGGCAAGTGGCACTGTAAAGAAAGCTGTACATGCTGTATTAAATACATTAGGCAGGAAGCAGGCAGGCTGGCTTGCTTACCACTGGCTGAGCGGGGTTTCAGCCGGACCCCTTCCATCACGACAACCAGTATCCTGCCACATGCCCCAAACTGGGCCTGCTCTGTGAATACCAGACAAAATATTAGCATTCAGCCCCACTCACTAGAACTGTTTTCAAAAGCCACTGATATAAAGCAGTATTAAAAGCACTTTCTGCTAGCCTTGTAGGTTTCAATACCATTCATATTACAAGTAGATCCTTTTAAACATAACTGAAAATCATTGTAATCTGATACAAGAAAATGTCAAGATACCATCACACCAAAATATATCACCCAGTCACAATGTTGTTACTTTCGATTTTCCTACAGAATTTTGTTAATAATGCTGTAGTTTTCAAAGATGTCATCTTACAATATTTCGAGACCTACACTAAATGGTACTTGTCCTATTCCAGTGCATGAGTGAACACAGTTTGAAAATAGATAATATCATTATGCAGTTGACAGGCTAAGGATAGGATGGAGAAATATCATAAACAATCAGTGTAGTCTGTTACAGCTTTCAACCGAGAAAAAGAATGAGAGGGAATTCTCACTGCCTGACAATGAAGAGTAATCACTGTTTCTTTTGAGTTTATGTTGGCAGGACAACCAAGGTCTGATCCTTTTCATCATATTCGGACTGGTTCTAGGCCTCATTTAACTTCCCGTCCAATGAAACCAAAAACTATTTCCCAGGGGGTAAATTATTTGGAGCATGAAGATGACCTCTCACCTCCCCCTAATGCCAATATTTTTTAGTGACGCTGTCAAAAATACGTAACATAGCCAAATGATTATAAACACTTCAACCTGAGGCTCAGTATGTTGGTATCTTCAGTGGATCTAGAAATACAGATAAATGAAAGTAATAATTTACTTTCTAGGAACCCTGTATATTGATTTGAGTTTAGATTTAAAAATTGTCTCTCCTCAATTTTTAACTCCTTACATGAGAATACCAGGGTGAGACAAGATGGCAACTATTATAGTCAATATTTAGTCAGGACCACTTTTCAAATAACCTGGACATTTTATCATGCTATTTAGCACAATAGTAATATCGATATAAACTTGAATTACTCGAAATTTTCTTGGAAACTAAATTTCATCAAAATTCAGAATAATTTATGGTAATTCAAGTTTGAATTACATACCAAGATTGTCCTAATAAGATGGGTATTAATTGTTTCCACGTTCATAAATGTTAAGAGAATTTTATCCTTTTTAATGTGAAAAATAATAATTGTATGAAATAATATCCACTTTTACCTTGTATGCACTGCATCTAATTAAACAATTCTAAAGAAGGCCTGATGATGGCGATATAAATTTCAAAAACACTGTCTTAGTGAAAATTTATTAAAGAAGTTGATCTGAACAGTTCACTGATAACAATGCCATTTTTACTTTAAATTGTCACCAAAAGATGACACAACAATCTTATCATAATTTTCAAGCAGCTACACTGTTGATCAATTATCAACAGGTAATGTGCCTATTCGTAACATGAATTAAAATATAACATTCATGTGAATGAACCCTATGAGAAAACAGTGTCATTACAGATGGCCAGAGCAGGCATAGTATGAGGCATCTAAATGCCAATAGAAAAGATTTGTAGACAATTCCAGCATACTTACTTGACTGTTGTCTCTGTAAGTGACATTTCTCATTCTCAAGAAATTCTTTGCAGGCCTGTCCCAGGTATTTGTACCAGAGGTTTCGTTCTTTAACACTAGGGGCAAGCATGTTATAACATGTCTTGTTTAGGATGTCTTGGAGCTGCAACTGTCGTAACAGCTCTGGTGATTCACAGCCACTTCCTTCACTGTGGCCTGATGTAACTTTTGACTGCCCATTGTCCTCAGGTACAGTAAGTTCATTCAGGAAAATTGGCTAAATGAATCAAATAAAGTCTATTACAGAAAACATAAGTAATTATACAGGTGTAATGATAAGAAATAAAGTATGTCACAACTTTGTAACATGAAAAAAGACCTATTTATGATAACCACTAATGGACAAATACTGTATGGCACATAACATTGCAACAATTCTGTTTTTCTTATATATGTTACTGGATGATGGATTCACTCCCAGGTCAGTCTATGTGAGATTTATGGTGGACAAGGTGGCATTAGGACAGGCCTTTCTCCAAGTTCTTTGGTTTTCTCCTGTCCATATAATTCCACCTTCACTTCTTATTCACTTATACATTATCTGCAGGATGGTAAATGGGCCTGTTAGACGCTCAGTTCCACAGAAACATAGTGTCACCTCATCGCAATAACAACAATAGTGGAACATGGCTTTTTAAGTGACCCTTGTACAGGGCTGATGTTTCAGAGCAAAGATTGGGATGAAAAGATAATCATGAATGAGCAAATGAGAACTTGGAAGGAAGAGGTCACAGCTGACTTCATAGTACTATCTTAGGATTAACTTGAATAAACTAAGAACAATTATGTAAAACCTCAAAGATAACCATCAGTAATCCTTCTGAGATTAAAACTGAATATATGCCTACAGCAGGAAGTGTGTTAACAAGTCTTAATAATACAATAAATAATTACAGTCCATGTATTTATTTACTTGTGGTTTATTTAATGATACTGTCAGTAATCTGCCTACATAGCATCAGGTGATTAATTAATAATGCACTGGAAGGATATATATATATAAAGGATTTCGGTGTGTGTCCTTACAGTACTATGGTCAACTGAATTAATTTAAATCAGAATTGTTTACATTAACACAGTAACACTGACAAAAACTTGAATTTAGTGACAGGTTAGGACTGGGTAGTTTAGAATGGTTATGTTGCATCTATTAACACATCAAATTCATCAAAATGTATGTATGGTTACCACATTGTAAACTTGTTTCATAATTTTTGTAAAGAAGGCTTTTCTTATATTTCTGCTCTCATTGCAGTGTTTAATAACTGTAAATAGCAGCTGATTCAACAATGCAGTGGTTTTATATGTAAGATTTCTTACCTTCTTATACAGTTTAAATGTTGTATTAGCATACTTCTCAAATGAGAAAGAGTTTCCCAAAGGTTTAGGAGGCTTAGCCAGTAGTAGGAAATCATTCATTAAAAAACCAACTAATTCTTTGCCACTTTTAGCCTGAAACACAAAAGCATAAAAGGATTCTCTACAGATATGAGGGTTATCACATGACTATGTGAGGTATATTTTATTATATACAGAATGGCCAAGAAGTCACTGTTCCTCTAATTACACAATTTTGATAAGTTTAAAATTATCTTATTCTAGCTGGTTGCTTAGTAGATTGTTCTTTCACACAGCCCAAAAACTGACTTACTTCTTTAAATAATCTACAGCCATTTGAAAATCTTGACCAATTTTTCTGTAAATTGTAGGGGTATGGTGACTTCTTGGCCATCCTGTAATTTTTTTTTGAGATGAATCTACTAGTATATTTAGGAGACTGATGTGACTTTCATGATTTAAATTCACATACAATTTGACACTCATTTAGTATTATTCACTTTCAGCAAATTTAAAGAAAAGGAGATAAACAATGATGCTCAATAAGGAAACACAGCAATGAAATCAACAAAACTGTATATACCACATCTTCATACTAAACTCAAACATACCTTATAAAGAACACCGAAGTGAAGAAATTTACGTGGACCAAGAGAGTTTGTCATGGAATTGAACACCAGTTCTTCATACAAACCTTCACACTGCACACACCGTTGAAGCCATTCTAAGCGATCTGAGTTTTCCTTTTCCCGCACACCTTCATTTACCTTAAAAATCATTGGATTGAAGTGTGTGTGTGTACATATATATATATCATATGGAACAGAAGATAACAACCCTGCTAATTACACAAAACTCTGGAATGATAAAAACTATCTCATGTTATAAATGTCATATTTAGCCAATGCGAATTGTAAACACGGTGTTGAACCTTCAGGTTTCATGTAAGGAGGGGAATTTCTCGACTAGCCAAGTGACTATCAGCTTTTCAGGACTCTGCCTCATAGAGTTCATTTCATACCCTTTTTTCAGAAGAGTAAAGAAGTTCCTTATGTCTTTACATAAGGCTGCATGCCACAGCAACATCAGTACATCACTTTGTTCAAACACAAGCAACAAATTACAATTACTAATCTACACTTGTTAAGAGTTCAACATGTTTCAACCACTGTAGGGTTATTTTCAGGGGAATTTCTTTATTTGCTCTTTAGCATAAGTCGCTCCAGGTAAAGTCTGAAAGCTTGACTTGTTTTTCACTACTTAATGTACAACCTGGAATGATCTTAATAAGGTATTATTTTTCTAGATTTCAGGTTAAAATGTATTATTTAATTATGATTTATATACATATGTACCTGTGAACACTTAATATTTCTCAGTTACCTGCGTGCAAAATTCTTCAGCTTTAGCAAGGGCTTCTTGTAAGTTTTGCCTGTCAGGATGATCATCTGGTGTGTAGTCCAGAATCTACAACACACAACCAAAGCATGACCACCGCAAAGTACTGTTTCTTTCCACAATGGAACAACTTTGTTCAAAATGTTAATACACTTTCCTCCACCAGTCACTTTATCATGTTAATTTTGACAACAAAATGAACTGCAGACTGATGACCAGTGGAAGAGAGATTAGTGTGCTTTAGTAGAGTGGAAGGAGTTGGACCAAAAGCATGGGTCAATATATAATCTCTACTTACAGTTCACAATTTTCTGGGCTTTCAGACCCACTGGTCCTGCTATAGGTAGTATAGCTTGGTTTTCTTATTACTTATATTAACTCCTCCTTACCCACAAAGTGCTTACTTTTTTAATAAGCAGTGGATACTTGGTTATACGCTGCATAGGCTTGATGAGATAGCTACTGAGGGGCATGCCATTAGTGCGGGGATCACTCTGGCACTTCTTCACTATCCTACGGAAATCTGCCGACTCTTCTGTTAATTGCTGAAGAAACTTAGCTGCACTGAGCTGCCGACTGCAGAAACGGATATATGCTGTCATGCATGGCAACTGCACAAATCAAGAGAACAAGATCATTAAAATAATCTGATTTTATGAAGACTTCTATGTCAGAATCGCAAAAATTCGAATTTACAGACTTGATGCAGACCACAAGACTTGAACAATAATTTTAAATTTCATAAATCCCAGGAAAATTAAATTACTGTACAAAAAGTGCTTGAAACTTGGAACAAAGTTGCAGTTATATTTTGTGTCTTACTGGCCACATATACAAGAGAAGAGGGCTCTGCTTGGTATATAGATAGACAGATAAATCATCCATATATATAATATTAAAGTTTAAATAGTCTGAAGAGGCTTATTACACGAGGGAATTTCATTACAGAAAAGAAAGAATATTTAAATCTGATGATTATAGAGCAAAAGGAATGTTCTTTATTTTAAAACTTGCAGTTAAATTGTGAAGTATTTTTAATAAGTATATTATCTTCAGACTCACCACCGTGAAAACCCCAAATCCTACCTGTATATTATTGCTTTGCAGACCAATTCAGGACTTACACATTTATATTGATTCACATAACACATTTCACTTACATTTTCACATAAAATATCACCTATCATGCGAATGACACGACCTTCACTCATATCCCTCCTCACTTGAAGAGCCCTGAAACCACACAATGTAAATCATCAGACAGTTGTCCTTTGTGATGAAATGTTCATATTAACTAATTATAGCTTACTAAATCAATGTTTTGGTACAAATTCAAACTTCTCTCCCTGGCCGGGGATTGAATATGATGTCCCTGTTTAGTTTTATAGTATCAGTGAGCTATAACAAGGAACAAGTTGTCATCTCTGTAAAAATATCCTTAGTCAACTACATGGACGACGCAACAAATGAAGAAAATCTGAGTTTATTCCCTGGTTGAGGTAAGAAAATCTTTCACTGAAATGAAAGAAATGCACTGCACAGGATGGTAGCCTTCAAGGAAAGAAAATTTTATCATAGTCTTACAGGCAACAACTAATTACCAACACGACCTACAAGCAAAGCATGTGGCCATGATATGAGTCATTCAGAAAAAGCTATTGAAAAACTGTCTCACAATGTTGAAATGTGATCAAATTTAGCTGTCATTTATATTAGTATAGTAATAGAACACAACAAAGATAACATTATTTTCAGAACTTTAAACCCAAGATACATGAAAATCAAGAGATTTTTCAATTCTGACTAGGATCTGGTATGGAGACCTGCATATACTGCAAGCACATATGTTTCAACTGGCATGCTTATAAAAACATATTATAAGTGCTCAATTTCTAACCTGAGGAACATGTAATTACAGTCAATAATCTCCCTCCAGTTGACAAATATCTTCTGTACTTCCTGAGGACTAAGAATCTGGCATTCCACTAGTGGCTTCTCAAAAACCTGTCACAAAACAGTAAGCAGCTCAGTATAAACAAAACTAACGTGCAACATACAGCAACAAAGAACTAATAAAATAAATTTGCATATTCTATATAGGTAAAGTGCCATTACTTAGATGTCATGCTCTGGCTACTCTACGGTGAAGGAACAATCCCTTGAACCCAGTGGATAGGACACTGGGAGGGCCAGTGAATCTGGACAAAATGTCAAAGAGAAAAATTATTGCCACTGCCAGGAAACAACCGCCTAGCCATTCACTATTCTTACTGAACTGTCCCAGCTCATTCCGTAAAAGTAGATTAAAATAATCAGGTAATTCATATTATGAAACAGACATGATTTGTCTCAAGTAGGTTTATATAAATTTATATTTGTTGAAAAACAATCACACTTAAATACTGATATGTCTACACCTTTAAGGTTATTTAATGACAATCATCTGCTGAGTGAAAATGACCATGCAAAGACACATGGTCTACTTACATCATGGACAGCTATCATGTCATCAATGTACGCTTGTTCAGTGGTTATCAGTTCCAAAATAGCTTCCTGATGTTTCCTCTCCATTCCACTTAACTGCACAGTTGCTGTTTGAAAAAGAAATACTTTTTTTAACCTTAAGAAATGAAAATAGGAGTAAACATTTTTTTAAAAAACAATGTCTATCCATAAAACTGATGTGATTTAATTCTAATGCACAGGTGCAAATACCAAACATGGCTACAAAGCCAAATGATGTTGAAAAGTAGATTTTCATTTGAATACATTATCTTGTGTTTAATAATTAAAGCCAATAAGTTGAATTTCTTTTTTGATAGGAATATAATGAATTAATATTTCCTTCTATTACATTTTACAGTGACAATTTTTGAGACTTTTTTTATTTATGAAGTATTAAACACAAGGGAAATCTTTATTAAAAGCTAATTGCATGCAGAAAATACTTTGCGCTAGGAAATCTGAATGCAACCTGCCACTGCAAACAGGCAAGTCAGCAAGCTTGCTGTGGTCAAGCACACAAACTTGTTGGCTGAACATTCAGATTCCTTCAACCAGAGCACTTGTAAATCAAGAAAACCTGTGCCAATCTCATCCAACTTCCCAATATGTAAGTGATGTAATCCAACTTAATCCTTTAAAGCTGAAGCTCATCCAAATAATATTTAAGAATTCAGTCTGTCACTACTAGGCCAGATTCATTCCACCATGTGGAACAAATGTAATCACTAGTAGAAGCACGAAGTGTGTGTGAATTTAAAGTTTAATGCAAGATTTGAACACAGTTCTTCTATAAGTCATAATAAGTGCTTTACGTTGTGTGGTAACCCAGAAATAGCTGACTTGCATTTTGCATATATCTATAAAACATAAACCTGAGATCCAAGATGAATGTAAATTGATTTTCATTTTTATAAATCGTACCTCGCAGGAAATATTTAGGAAATTGGTAGGAACATTGTTTCCCTAAATTATTTTAAGTAACATTAATTATTATCTTTAATAATTTTCATTGCAAGAAATACAGAATAACCTTGACCTCACACAGCAAGTTCCTATCTGTTTCCAACTTCATCAATCTTGATATACTGGCAAGTATTTGCTAAACAAATGGACAATGAGTAATAACCAACATCATCAAAGAAAGAAAGTTTTTAGTACACAGCCCACAATAAAAGAAATACATATAATTTTGGTAATATATTACTAGTAGTCACTGGTCCTATGACAACGCTTCTTCAAATGCCTCTAAGCATTAAAAGCCACTGTAAGTCACAAAAAGGAAACAAAGTCACAATTCCAATTTTTATCTGCCAGTGATGTTACCATTCCTTTATACTATTTCCTCGTGGATCTCATCACTGCATATATTTCTTTGGATTCTGATTTGAGAGCCAGGCTTACAATTTTTACATTATTAACTCCAATGCAACGTTCCTCCGAGACACTGGTAACCACTACAAAACCAAACATCATAATCCAGAAGACCACAACTGACAATTATGGATATCTGTTGAAACAATGCACTTTCTTCAAAATAAAAATTACCTGAACTACAAATGCCAGGAGAGAATACATTTTAATAAAACATATATTCTCTTCTGACATGAATATGAGACTTCTTATTAATGGGGGGATAAAGAATTGCTTCAATCTGTACACTACTAGAAGCCAGGGAGTCTTGTGAAATGCTTTACTGCTTTACGTCCCTGCTTTATCCATATGTTCTTACTTTGTTCAGAGCATTGCCTTCCTCTACCATTCAAAATCACCAAACTCATCTCCTAATGTCACTCCTCTACTATTATAAATATAATGATATGTCATTTGGCCAATGAACTCTTCACAAACCAAGTGCAACAATACAAAGTAAATATTATGCATTATTTACACTTTTATCAAATATGATTAAAAATTTAGTGAGGTGCCAATCATAACAGTTAACAAGCTCTCAAAACTTAGAGATTTATATTAAATTATACAACATATAAATGCAATATAATTAAATACACAATGATTTGAAGACTTTGTCCAGTGTCCCAGATATACACACAATAACCTGTTACAGCATCACAGTTTACCTTATTCACATAATTTCATTTAACTGCAGTTATTCTCAAAACAATAACAAAAAAGAATTTATTCCTTATTCTTATGCAGAGATACTCAATACCAAATTATATATTATTCTAATAGGAACTTCCCAAAACTCAGCATAAAAATCATTAGAATTCATTGAAACTTAAACAATAATGTAACTATTGTTATATACATGGAATTTCAGAACTTTCTGATAAATGTGTAATCTTTTACACTACAAGTATATATATTTCATTCATGCCTAAGTGCCCGCAGATAATGACAATGGCTCAAAAACATAAATACTAGGCTAATGCTACATTCCATAAACATTAAATAAAGATTCTAATAAAAATCAGATAAAGTCATTTTTATGACTCATTTCATATAAAGGATTAATAAACAAGAGATACAATTCAGGACTTAGAAAACAGAGAGCAAATAAATCATAATCAGCTCAATAACTTCTGTTGCATTCATCAAATAAGATGACGAGCACTGATGTAAATACAGCCAAATACTTATGGGTGCCTGACAGATACAATGTCCAGGAGCATAATTCACATTCCTTGTGTTATTACAATGCCATCATATATAGCCTTCTATAAACACACAAATCCCAGATAAATAAAACTTATAAATCAACATTAAAGATAGTAAATAATCAAGAAAATTAATATGGTTTCATTGTAAGTATATATGAAACTGTATGGTGTAAACAGGGGTCAGTTCATTAGCCAGACAAAAATTTTACTCATCAAATATTTCACCCACAACAGAAACCATTATAATTTATTTTGGCAAACAACTGATTATAACTAACCTGTATGATAAAGTGAGTTACAACTATCAGCAAGTCTTAGGATTTCACTTGCATCAATGCAAAATAAAATAAAACAAAATGATAGATCACTCACATATTGATGAACAAAAACAACTGGCAAGTCGCATTATGTTCTAATATACTTCTTCCAACATTTCAACATTCACATATGACAGTATCATGCTAACACAGGCCTTCATACCCACACCAGGTATTAAGGTACTGTTTGGCACCTGAGGGGAAATATCAATTTTTTTTTTTGGGGGGGGGAGGCACAAGCAAAGACATTTTCTCTGATCATTGACAAGTGGGTTAGTTGAGCCATGAGTATAAATTAACAGGGGCATCAGAAGCAGGGGGCAGGGAGGTAGGTAGCTGTGCCATTACATAAAACACTTCTGACACCTGTGGTAACATAAACATATATTTGAGGACTTAAATTATGAGTAGTTCAGAGAGAAGTATGTAATACAATATGCCCCATCCAAACTCCTTCAGTGGGGAGCAAGCACAGAACATAAAAACAATTGAAAATGGCTGTCTTCTGGGATGTAGCACCCTGTAGTCTGGTAGAAGTTTAGTGACATTTCAGAGATCCTTGCTGCCTCCATCATCATAGCCCTGATGATGGAGGCAACAAGGATATCTGAAATGTTGGTAAATGTCTACCAGACTACAGGGTGCTACAACCCAGAAGACAGCCATTTTCATAACTGCCAAAATAAGAACCTCAAATCTTAGTCTGTAAAACAAGTTTTCAGATATACAGATTATCAGTTAACAATAATCAATGCAACTAGAGATTCTCCAATATTATGCCTGCTTCTTACTTAAAATCTTTGTTGCACTGGCAAATTATGGTACCATATTTAGATACCATCAAGTATTTTATTACATTATCTTCAGAACTTCTTTTGTACAGCTTATGTGGAGAAAATTCACACATGTTGACTATGGTTTATATTTGATCATAGCATGTATATTCTGTTTCAGTCTCAAAGTGAAAGTATTTCAAGCAAAAAGTTCATTACAGAAATCACTTCAGAAACCTGACAGAGGTTTAAAGGCATTTAGGGGGAGGAAAAAAGTCTTCGCTAATTGAATTTCCAAACCAGATTTACCACATGCTCCCCCCACCCATTTCTACTGAAAATGGCAAAAATCCATCACATGACAATTTACTACTTCCATATTGTGTTTTTCTAACACCAAAGCTGCATTGACATCAAATTCTATTACAGACACATGGGTGTGTACAACATGTTCCAATTCCCATTTCTGATTGAGTTATAAATATTTTAGGATTTATAGATATTCTTCTTCTAGCATTACTTCAATTTTATATACATTGATAGTCAAACAAACATATCATCTAAAAACATTGGAGGATAAAAGGCAACTTGCACAAATTTTGTTGTGCAAAGAGATTCATAATTATACAAATTGTGAAACAAGTTTAATATAACACTAAAGCTGTAATGCATACACATCTGACTTGTTAAGAGAGCAGTTCTACCCTTGAAATCTATTAGTTTCCTTCTGTTCGCTTCATTTCAGTTCAGAGTCAGTACTGGGTTATTAGGTTTAAAACAAGACCTTCATTAATTAAAGAACAAAAAATTTACATAAGTCCATTAACACTTATAATATTTATCATATAAAATATGAAGTATTAGGTTTGAATGCAAGTTTCACATATAATGCAACTGTTACACAATTTCAAGTAACTTATGCCTTATCTACAACTGATAGACTCAGCTATTACAGAGAGCTTGCATATTTCCAAACTGTTAAAATATATCTGCACAAACAGGAATAAAAGAAACCCATTTCATGTCGTTTCAAAACATTAACACCAAACAAGAAGTAATACAATCAGCAATTCAGTGTTCATGCACAAGCAACTGTCGATGACTGTAACCACAGTCAATTTATTCTGAACCATTTCATGGTGTTCTCATAATACAGGGTCCCTGCTTCTAAACATTTTACATTTCACTTTATTTTAAACATTTTGAGAGTAAACCGGAAGTCCCAATTTTGATTACAGACTCGAGTTACTTTTGTTATTATTCTCTGTATCACTAAAAAGGTTAGTGCAGCATTTATATTATGTTATACTCAAAGTGTTTCCACTCTGTAAATAACACAACTCCTAACAAAATTATGGAGACTATGGGGATTAACCTAAACTACATCAGTTTATTTCCTGCAATATACTATTAAATTCAAATTTCTACAGTACACAGAACATGCAAATGCCTATAGAACATGAAGCGTCCTATGACAAGGTTTCAACAACTGGATTAATTATGGACTGCTCTATATAATCTACTTTAAACAACATAACATAGAACTCTTAACAGTAAACACAAGGAGAGATAAGGAAATTTACCTTCCCTTATAATATAATAAGGTAATAGTTATTCCTTCATTATGAATTTGGAGAATTCTTTTAAATTTGTTTTATAATAGAAGCATAATATTTATACTATCCTTGTATACATACACAAACCGTACATTATCTTTCATAACAATTACAGAGACAAAACACACTTGGATATATATACGTTCTTACATGTTGTTAAAACAGAACTTATAACACTGGTCACAATTTCTTATTAACATTATATCTATAAAGAATTAATATACTAACCTGAGTATCAAATATCACCTAAAAGGTAAACTCATCAATACATTATAAACGTGAAAAATGAAATACGAAAGAAAATAATACACTCCAAGCAAGCAATGGTACGGTAACTTCACGAGTGTCTCTACAGTGCTAGGAATCAATGGCCTAGGCACACATTACAATGGATAACAATCATACATGTGTAATTAAAAACAATTACAAAACAAGCAAAATTAGTATAACAAAAACAGTTCTTTGTGTGCACATCAAATTTTCCAAGCAATGTATTTATAATCAACAAGAACTATTAATATGTGAAGCTTTCCAAAACATTATTAAAATTCAGTGCCAACATGTTATCAGAAAATACATTACCACATTATTATCTGTATGTAGGAAGCAGATGCCAGCTGAGTTTCCACATAAGCAGAAAGGAAAAAAAAAAGTCACAAACTGCTCACACATTGTTGGCTAAAGGCAGGGACCCACTACCACATGCAATAAAAAAATGGCAGCACCATTTATATTATCAGATACTGTGCTACTACAATATTCATGCCAAACACTGGATGCACTGTATTGTATTAATAAAACATTGTACATGGGAACTTAAAGATGACCCTCTCCCCCACCCAAAAATAAATAAATAAAAAATCAACAGGAACAATAAGGAAGGATGGGGGAATGAGTGGGTGTTTTTTAGTTAGTGCACTGCTGATGAGACAACACAGCTACAAGCATGGAGGGGGAATACAGTCATATTTGACCAAACAATCATTCTGAGTAGCAATGTAATAGCAACAATTCCTTATACTATTTCTTTCAAGTTCCATTATACTAGCTTTCCTTCACTCAATCAGTTCAAACTAGTGCCAGTAATTTATATACATATATTAGATTCAAAGTATAACTTTACTAATAAATATTTCTATATTAATCTTTCTTCTTATCAGCAAATAACTGAGTGGCAATTGTTGCAATCGATCGGTGGGTGGCCATAAGTGGGTCCACAGCCAGTAGGCAAGGTGTGCTCGCACATTCCTACAATTGAAAGAAAAAAATATGAAGAGGCTGTGTAATGTATTAGTTTACCTAAGTGATATAACTGAGAAGAAAAAGTACCAATTCAGAATTTCAAATATTCAACATTTATTATTTCTGTACTACCTAAATGTATCATGACCTAGAATTTTAAGAGAATTATATACAATCCATGAATTAAAAAATGCAAAAATAAAATGATAACTATAATCTCACAAACAGTTGACTATGAAATACATTTCCATGTTCTTCATAATTGCCTGTTCATTTACACACTCTTTAAAACCGTTTCTCAGATAACTATAGAAAGCTATCACACAGTCCAATTTACTACAGACAATATTGACTATGCACACTAACAAAAAAGAGATTTGTGGTGGTCTCATTATAATATTCCTTAATTCTAAGAACACACGATGGTATATTTTCATTAAAAGTTTAAAACTATGAACAAAATATTTGCAGCTGTGTTGAAAATATTTGGCTCGATGGTATTTACTGCCTATGAAGGGGCTTATTATTAGTCTTCACCATGTAACATCACAACACTTGTGTTTTTGCACTAATAGGTGTAAAAACACTGAACACTGGCATTTGTGAAACATTTTAACTGTATGTAAATATATAATGACTCTTGTTTCATATTTTGGATGGAATGAGTAGAACAAATCAGCAAAAACAATTACTTTATTTTTTCTGAATGCTGTATCAAATAAGTTTTAAATACACAAGACTAGCAGTTAAATTACTATGCAGGTTATCTGACTTTAACACACACAATGAGCAGTTTCTTGAGCATACATCCTCATGAAATGACCTACTGTAACCACAGCAAATGAAAGGTATTAGCAAACCTTTTACTCCTTCCACATTAAATAATTTACGTAATATTTATTCATGAGTCTGGAATATATTTTTCACTGCAGTTCAATGCAAATTTATCACCTCACCACAAGATAGTTTTGAGTTACTCTTCATAATTTAATGACACTTAAATTGCTGAATATATCTGATCAATACATAAAAAGTGGTCACATCAATCCTGATGATGAAGTCAAAGACTGACTCCAAAACATTAGATACTAATTTCATCCTCACACAAATTTTCATCCAAGTGCAGATAAAAAATACTTTTAAAGTTTAATTTTAAATAAATAATTACATAGGCATGTGAGCATATAAACAAATGTATATATAATACATCTTTTCAAAACTCAATTATGTAGTGTCATGACAGTAAACAACAAGAAGTTGATGGAAAAATTATATATACACATAAACTATATACACATATACACACATATAATCATCACAATAAATCAACAATTTCCATGCAGTTTATGTTAAGAAAAAGTACGCAAAGAAGAGGTATTTCTCATAATTCTCTTTGGTCAATAGGAATATATATTCTTTCTCTGTTTATGAGAATATTTCCATTATTTCAGTATAGTTTATTGGTGCTTTTAGCAACTTCTGTCTTTTGGTCATTAAAGAAATGTAAATACTGAATGTTAAAGGTAAGACAGCTCTTAATTTAAATTTGAAGAACACTATTCATAGTGCACCAAAAACACTAAAACCAGATTCTATAAAACTAGAGTACCATACTTCTATCATGATCAGTACAAGTAAGTTATCAAACACCATTTATCAACAGCATAACCTGGTATTACCATATGCGAATAACTAATAAAAGAATTAAAATTAACAAACTAGACAAATAATGAATGAAAAATGGAAAAGTAAGAATGCCTTTACACAACCTAAAAAATTAAATTCTAATAAGCCAGATACGGCTGAAAGATGTCACATGTTTCAGTATGATATTGCATTCATGAAGTAATTTTCATGCCATATCATATAATACATATTCTATCAATACTTAAAACAACAAATATTTTAACAAAATCCATTAATATTGTTTTTTAAAATTGTAAATATTTGTTTTAATTCAAGTGATGCTGTTGTCAGACCATCACTTTTTTTTAATTTGTGATGATACAGTAGTCATCTCATAAAAAAATCTTTTAACAAGTCTTTCCAAACATCAGTCAAGTGGTTAGTGCTCCTGTTTCATATTCTGAAGGTCCTGAGTTCAAATCTCAACTTGGATAGCATCTATTGTGACTGAGATTTTTCATGGTTTTTGTCAGTCCCTCCAGGCAAATGTCAGGACAGTACCTTAAATTAGGTCACAACTGCTTCCTTCCGTATAATTTCTAATTTATTATTCATCCTACCTTGAGCCACAGACAGCATCATTAAACAAACCAGAAATAAACAAATAACATGATTTCAAACTTAAACTAAGTTCGGCATGTCTGCTATAGTGAAATTTATTATAAATATATGGAGGTTTAAATATAAATTACCCTTTCAGGACAGATATATTATTATATCAGACAAATGTACTCACATAAGGGTGCAACGTAATTGCTGGGGAACAGGCCAGACACACCTTTCAGTTCACCTCGCCACCAAGATGCTTCCTCGCGGGCCAACAGTATGATCACATCATCTTTCTCAAAGCTAAGTTCATCTTCATTCAAAGCTAAGTATGGGTAGAGAGCCACAACTTTCTCTGTAAGAACAATAAATACAGAACAATATACTTAATATAAAGCACGAGGGGCAGTTTCCTCTTTTTGTAGCTACTGCATTGTCCCTAAAAGAACAAAAAAAGTTTTATGCACTGCGCCAGATTTGAAAACTCACTGTTAAAATATTTCTTAGTAGAAGCCAGTTGCTGATGGCATTATAGAAAGTTGACACGCTAGACATCACCCTCTCCACCCCCCATCCCCCCAAAAAACAACAAAGAAACAAACAATCAATCAATCAATCTCAATAATTTAATAGGAATGGAAAGGAAATTTAAGAGACAAAAGTTTTCTTATATTTTCAAGCCTCTTCAAACACAGGAATGCAAGTTCTGGTCATTAGGTGCTGAACCATCAGAGTGCACTGGTAATTACATGTACCACCTGCTTAATAATCAATAACTCTGCATTTTTCCCATAGAATACATTTATGGGTTTTGTATGATTCTCGTAATAAACAGTGATTATTTCTTTATGCAGCATTAACCAAATGATTTTTGTAATAAAGGAGTATTATGTTTCCATAGAGATATGAACTGAATGTTTAAATATTATTTAGATGAGCTTTAGCTTTAAAGGTTTAATGGAATGCATAGCTTATATACATATGATTATTGACTGGGCCAAACTTTTCTCTGGTAATCATCTTCAGGGGTGTTTCTAACTTCTCCAGAACATTACTCACCAATAATTGTCTCTGTGGGAACAGGTTTCTGCTGTTGTTGCACCGTTTGTTCTTCTTGGTGTTTGTGTGAGACTGGTGTGCTCCGGTTACTGCCGCCTGCTCCCAACAGTTTTACGTAAGATGCAGGAAACCAACCCACTTGACGTTTCTTGCCTTTCGCCTGTAACTCACCCTCCCACCATCCCGTACTCGTTTTCTTACGAATCATGATAAGCTGACCACGCTCCAAGTCCAGCTGTTCAGCACTAGTAGCCTGGTAAGGTGCGATTGCAGTTGCTATCTCTGGCTTCTTGCCTTTGCCCTGCAAATTATGATATTGCAAATAACTTTCAACAATGTAACATGTGAGAGAAACTGATCAGCACATACTCTACTGTAGAAAAATCAATTAAAACTGAGGACTAATTTCTAAGACTGATAGTAGTCAGCTAAGGTTATAGTATGTCTAAAAGAATGTTATTTGGGAAGAATCAATATCAAATTAAGGACAAACAGGTGGTACTTTCAACAAAAGACAAACAAGAGTAGATACAGAAATTCAGTTTCTCTAGTCAAGTGCATATATTGTAAAAACAGTGACTGATCTGAGAGGCTACGTACTGAGACCCATCTTCCCAACTGACATGCTTAGATGACAGTGTCAGGTGCTGACAACAAAGTGTTTTAACGTTTTTGTACCTTCTGACAATCTCAACATACCAACATTTTCACCCCAAAATATACTGTGCAATGTGAGAAATATGAGAAACTGCAGAATTTAAAAAAATTGGAAGCAATAATGATCACAAATTCAATTCAATTCATACAAATATACATAATTAAAGATCATATTTTGCACTCTACATTCAAGTCAAAATCCTATTATTTTCAAAGTTACGTACACAAAGACTGAACAAAGAAAGCTATGCAAAGTACATGAAGGTAGGTGCTGCATGTAGTACTGAAGTGTTAGCTTCAAGATTATCTACTAAACAGTCTATTCTACTCCATAACATCAATATCATAACATTGAAATCAGATGTCAGTATGAATAGAAATTTATCACTACACCAAGACTTTCTCTGTTTGTCTAATTGCAATAGCAACATTACTTGTGTTGTGCAGTGTCAGTACAGAGTACAGATCAGCATTGTCTGTGCATAAATGCAAGTAAAAAGTGTGAAGTCTGCTTTGAAGTTTAGTTACATTTACAGTAAAGCGTGAGATTGAAAATCTGGGTATTTCTAAGTTTATAATTACAATAAATAAAACATTACATTACCATTTCATTGATAAGCAAAAAAAATCTAAGGCATATAAAATATTCTGTTAAGGGCATTTCAATAATCCTACCATGTTTTGTAAAAAAGTCATGAAACAGAAAAGTCACACCCAATTTATGGTAGACAATAAGGGGAATGAGAAGAAATAATACCAATTTCCCTTCTGCAGTCAGAACATAAACGCTTGTACTAATATACATCAAAGAGATTTGGAGTGTTACAATTCTGAGAGTATTTTGTCTAACTTCAGTATATTTTAATGTAATGTACAGAAGTCGGATACAAGAAATGTTTGATCTTTATAGGAAGATGCAACTCTAGTATGAGTGGAAAAGTCCACATCACTTGCTTACATATCCAATGTCTTTCATGCATGCCAAAGCAGTTTAAAAACTGATTAATATCTATGATAAAATATCTACAAAGAAGCCCACTATAGTGAAAAAAACAGTATTATTCTGATCCATCATGGGCCCAAAATTTGGTTCTTTCAGAAGGACATATTATGTCTTTGCAGTATGGAGCAAATTTTAGTGGGACCCCAGAGAATCATGTGACAAGCAATATTAAAAAACTGCATGACCAAACACTTAACGCAAAACATAATAAGCATTCTTTTCAAGCAGAAGGAACATGCAGGAACACACTGCCTGATAAGTTCTTTACACATGTGTGTACCTTGGGTGAGTGAAAGATCCCAGGAATTTTCTGCTAGTAAACCATCCCATGAATTGACGCAGCGAGACACCAAGATGAGACGAGAGGAAGGGTAGAGAAGAATGGAAAGAAGGCAAGAGACAAGAACCCAACATTAGTACATCACACACACACACACACACACACACACAGGCAAATGATGTTAAGATGCAACCAACACCTCCCACACCTGCATATCAGAGGGTTTATTTTAGAGAGTGTAGTAGGCCCTACCACCTCAATACATGATTCTACTCTTATAAGTCAAATAATTGTGATTCCCCCCATTTTCACATCACACTGATTCATGATATAAAACAGGCATCATGAGATGACCAGCTGCTTACCACTACTATTACTACCATGGCTGCTCTTTGTATATCTTCTACTCTTCTAGAAGTCTTACTGAATAATGCTTTATAAGAAACAATTATTATTACAATGAAAAACTGTTTTCATAAGCTCAAAGATGAACACAGGCAGACTTTATTGCACCTCCTCTGTTATTTTAAAGTTGACAGTAAATTTAAATGTAATTTTTAATTCTATTTAAAAGTTAACAAACAGACATACATACTCTACAGTAATTCTAACAAACTTTACTTCAATGTCCACTGATGTTAATTATACTCAAATATTTCTGATAGGTCCTTAGTATTTTTAATATGATTTGTAGCATACATAATGTTTTCACTGAACATAATCACTATAGAAATGGAGGGCCTACTATATCACAAAACAATGACAATGTTGTCACATTTAGAACTTGCAAGTCAACAGGAAGAAATTCAAATGCATGCATCATAAAATACGTTTGGAAGGATGTAATCATCAAAAGTAATATAAATTAGAAAATATTTCTTCTAATAATACCTTAGAATCACTATCCTCCTCTATATCTTCAGGCTAAAGGAATGTAAAGTTCAACATATCAGAAATCACAACATAATAAACAATACACAAATAGAAAACACAAAATATACTTTAAAAACTGTCTAAAACTAATACCAAACTTAAAAAAAAGACACCAATGCATAACTAATATGCAGACACACTATCAGATCAAAGTGTAGAAATTAATTTACATTCAACAGTCTCAAAATCCACAAGTAGGCAGAAGCAACTGTGCATTAGCTCAATCTCAAAAGACAAACATATTCTTTTAATATTCATATTCAACAGAAATTAAATACTAAAACTGAATAAAAACTAATTTCTAATTTACAAAACAAAAAAATGTAACATGTTTATGAAAGCACGAATAACTGTTATTAATCTATTCATTTGAATCCCATAAACATTAAATGATATTCTGTGTAACTGTAGAGCTACTTACCTGGATGCTTCCAGTCATTGCTGCAAGTTCAGGAGTGCTGGGGGATTTGTCTCCAGACTGGGCAGAAGCAAAGAAAGATATGCATAAGGTATACTTCACCAAACACAACACAATTCATGTTATCCACAGAACTAATTAAGCTGTAATATTTTGTTCTTAATATATGCAGAAGACTGTTTTCAACTCATCTTTACTAATCTTGTTAAGTGTAAAAAAGCTTGATTAAAAGTTGGTACATACATGATGATCAAGAGGGGTTGAAGCAGTAGTTATAAATTTGTTGGTATGTGCACAAAGGCACATGAACATTTTCTGGCATCTTAGCTTATTTAATAATTGTTTTCTCCACTGTGGTACTCAGTAACAAGGGCTTATGTCAAACATAATTCCTATTGATGCAAGCTCTTCTTACTAAGTGCCAAATATGTAGCACTGAATGGGAAGATGACTGAATGATAACACAAGAATGTGGAAGTAAACAGAAGATATTAAAAGGTATGGCCCAGCATTCTTCCGGAGGAAGATGAGAGAAATCGTGGAACCATCAGCCAGGATAGCCAGAATCTCGGCAAAGATTTGAACTTTATCACATGAAGAGCCATGCAAAAACAATATTCAGTTCCAAGATACAAGTAGCCCTCGATTTATGCCGGGGATGCGTTCCTGGACGAACTGGCGTAAACGGAATCGGCGTAAATTGAAACTCTTTTATAATGTAAATCAATGGGAAGTCAATGACATGCGTTCCCAGCACCCAAACATTGACGAGTAATATAATGACATTACATTTAAAGCTCTGAAATAACGTAAATAAAATAAAGGGAATTTAAAAAATATATTGTATATACTTACAATCGGCAATTCGTTGCTGCCCGCGATTGACTGCGATTCTTTCATGTGATTGATGTGTACAGTCATCTCTGCTGTTACGCGATAGTTGCATTCATGTAAGATGCCGACCTATAGAAAATCGCGTA